GATGGATTTATGCTGGTAAACCAGCTCGATCGGCTCCAAGAGTGCTGATTCGCATATGCCCGCTTCGTGGAAGGAGATCAAAGCGTGACACAAGCCTTCTCCGAGACTTGATCACGCCGATCTCAACTCCCGCTTGGGCTCTGCTGCTTGCTGGTCAGACCCCCTGCCTGGGGGCTGCTGCGTTGGGCTGAGGGAAGCCCAAACTGTCAAAAGGAGCCGTCACCCACCCCAATCGTTCGCAGGATGCGTCAATTCCCTATTTTTCCCCGACCGGAAGCCTTGAAATGTAATAGTTTAACGGGAATGATTTGAAAACAAGATATGCATATTATGAACTAAATGTAATAGTCTTCCTATGGAATGGGGGTAAAAAAGATGAAATCAGAAGTAATCAAAACATTAAATCTTTATTTTAAACAAATAACCTTTATATTAACCAACCTTTTTTTATAAAGCATTATTAGTTATTACAGATGTAATGTTTTTGTAAACATTGGGTATATTAGGCTGTATTCTACAGAAACACAAACAGAGCAACTTCACAGAAGGAATTTTTACCAGCTTCCTGCAATAAGCAAATTTGATTCCCTTTTCTTGGATAAAGCAAATTATAAACATATTAATAAAGAAACAGAATAGTGACCCATTGATACCATCTCTCCTTCTATACACTTTGTTGTAAATTATCATGCTAATTTGTGCTCTGTGCTTGTAATGTAATCTGAATTATGTGTGTGAGTTATGGATGTCAGAAAGGGCATTTGTGTGTGAAGATTTCAGGCCTTGGGGCAAAGAGTGTAGAATTGAATGTCTTCTGCTAATATCCAGCCTAAAGATTCTATAAACTCTGTGTCAGTCACATAATAAGACTGCACAACCACTTACACAATCCTAAAATAGTTTCCTAGTGATAGTGTCACCTTTGAAGCCAGTTCTATTCTTGTTAGTTAAAGGAATGCCTAAAGCCGATGACATAGCCTCTGTATAGGCAGTGCTTGTGTTGGAAATTAATCTAGCACTTAAAAACACAGAACAAAATGGAAAACCATGTAATTAAAACATCTAGCTCCGAGTCAAGTAGCACCTTAGAGACCAAAACAATTTTGAGGAAGATTTCAGCAACAAGACAGGTCAAGATGACACACAGTTAAACAACTACTAAGGTCATAAGAAATGTTATATGTATAAATCCCAGACAAATAAGGCTATTCATAAGCAATAATTTTACCTCTAGCTATATGAACAAACGGAGCACAAACCTCTTTATTGAGAAATCAGTGAAACCAAAAACAATCAGACATGTATTTTGTTGCATGGATACTCAGTGAAATATATGTATGTGGCTATAGTCACATGCAATGACCTATGTACTGTCTGTAATGATACTGAAATAGTTATTTATTGAAAAAATTAATCAAGTTTGATCCAACTCTAAAATTGGTTCTGATTCAAGCCCTGCCATTCCGAGAAGCAGCAACTCTTTATTATTGTTCCAACATCTGTTTACTCAGCCTGAGCCACACCGGGCTTAGCAGTAGCGTGATACATCTTCAGACAATTAAATGTTGAGATGACCACTTTCTCAAATGTCATAAATGGCAACAATCACATTAAGCTCAACATTGTGTCAGCCCTTAGAAATCATAAGGATTGCACCACAAGAATATAAGAAGAGCTCTGCTGGATCAGACCAGTGATCCATCTAGTTCAGCATCCTGCCTCACATAGTTGGCCAACCAGTTCCTCTGGAGGGCCAACAACAGGGCATAGAGGCCAAGACCTTCCACTGATGTTGCCTTCTGGCTCTAGGATTCAGACATTTAGTGCCTCTGAACATGGAGGTTCCCCTCCATGAATCTATCTAATCCCTTTTTAAAGCTGTCTATTAATGTGGCCATCACTACATCTTCTGGCAAAGACTTCCATATACATAAGGTATTGTAATTCGGTATGTTGTACATTTCTGCACTTTCTTGTTCTGAAGTTATAAACAAATCTTAATTTCTTTCCATGCAACTTAGTAGTGGATTCAAAAATGCTCTGTAATCTCATATACATCTTAAAACTATGCAGGGAAGGTTCAGGTAATTCAACATATTTCTGTTCAACATTAGTCTTCTCTTGGGTACACGGCTGGAATCTGACAAGTTTCTGGAGGCCAATGATTGGTCAAATCATAGGAACATACAGGCAGTGAACCCACAAAGACTTGTGGGCAGTCACTTTATTTTGCCCAGCATCCGCCTCCCAAAACTACTTCCTCTCATGGCAGTACCTATATCCTCTCTCCTTTCTCTGCTCCCTTCTCAAACACCAACCAACCTTTATTTTATTCCTCCCCCATTTTCAGTTTTATTATTTACTTATTTAATCTATACTCCAGCTTGCTCCCCAACAGAAACCCAAAGCAGATTACATCATTCTGTTCTCCTCCATTTTATTCTCACAAGAACACTGTGAGGTAGATTAAACTGAGAGAATGACCAGCCCAAGGTCACCCAGCAAGTTTCCATGGTAGAGCGGGGATTTAAACCTGGGTCTCCCAGATCCTAGGTCTGACATTCTAACCACTGCATCATACAGGCTCTCAGCTTTCCCGCTTTCCCCTCCCCTGGCAGCCTCCCCCTGGGAAAAATCTGACTAAGTAGCACAATGTGTACAAGTTGCTCAGGTAACTTGTGTGGGGCCCACTGCCAAGCCCAGCCAAGTCACACAAGTTGTGTTGAGGCCCAGGCAAGTTGCATGGCATCAAGTCTTAGCCATCACCACACTTGCATGAATTGAGCAAAGTTCATTGTAGTAAGTTTCCTGGTGGTTGCTGCTGCGGGTCAGGACAGAGGGGATCAAGGGTGGACTGGGAGGTCAAAATAGCACTGGAAAGAGCTCTGCCCCCTCCTCTTTGCCTTTCACTGACAGAAACTAGGGTTTGAAGGCTGGCAATACTGTTGTGGCCACAATGGTCACTGAGATTTCATTCATTTCTTTAAAGTATAGGTGCTGCTTCTCTTATTTTGGGTTGTTTTTTTTTTAAAAAAAAACACCATGGGGCTTTTCTCCGATTTCTAGAAAGACTTCTCTTTTCTGTTCATGTCTCCAGTCTCTGGATTTAAATATCCACAGATGGGACCATGATGAACATTAGATATGTTGATTCAGATCATTAAGTTATTAAAATAAGAACAAAACACAATTAAAAACTACTAAATTACAAAATGTATTATAAAAAACTGCATGGATTGCTCACTACTTTGGGATGTTTTAGTTGATCCTAATAAGGTTATTGCCCTACTGCTTTTTAATTTTTTAATTTAACAAACTGACATGGCTAGTTAGTCTACAATCAAGTCCCTCTCAGAAGCTTTATACTGAGCATCATATTACACAGAAGCCCACCTCAACCCGTAGTAAATGCAGTTAACTTTGCAACAGGCCTGACTCCCAGGCATCTATGTAGTGCTGCTACCTTTATTTACAATATTTCTGAAATCTAGGGCTGAGTGCTTCTGAGCTCCTTTCCAAAGGGAGGGAAATCTTTTGAGAAAGGCCTACAAGAAATGTGTTTTTCATCATCTGCAGACAGCAGTTCCTTTGTGAAAGGCATGCTTCTTTATCTGTCTAGAGACTGTAAAGTCTTAATGGTTTGTATCTCACCATCAGCCTCCTCACCTAAGCTATAATGGCATCCTGGGTGTTGCACAGCCTGAGAAGTGGCCTAGGGCAAGCCAGCTGGCAGATGTTTGATTAGAGAAAAGAGGCTCTGGATCTACTCAGGACTGTCTGGCTGACACGTGTAGCCACTGGTAGATCAACACACCCGATCACACTAAATTAAACCTGCAGAACTACTTCCATTGTACTTGTATTAAACTGTTGATTAATCAGTGCAATTTATGGAGCAGGTCAGAGTATGGGCACACAATGGTATTCATAGGAAATGCAGACACCACCTCCTTGTAAAATTCTGAGCAGCATATAAGCACATAAGACAACCCCTGCTGGATCAGAACAGTAGGCTCATTTTATTCAGCATACAGTTTCACACAGTGGCTAATCAGTTGCTGTGTGGAGGCATTCCCTTGATGTTGTCTCCTAGTACTGATATTCAGAGGTTAAAGCCTCTGAATGTGGAGATACCAACTTACTCACTATGGCTAGCAGCTATTGATAGACCTCTCCCCCATCAACTTGTCTAATGTTTATTTAAAGCCATCTGTGCTAATAGCCATCACTATGTCCTCTGGCAGTGAATTCCAGAATTTAATTACTCACTAAGAAGTACTTCCTTTTGTCACTCCTGAGTCTATCTGCCCATCAACTTCACTGGGTGCTCCAAGCTCTAGTACTATGTGTGAGAGAGTATTATCCACTTTCTCTATCCCTGCATAATTTTATAAGACCCTATCATGTTCAACCCAAGTTGTCTTTTTTCCCGTTAAACAAGAATCAATAAACGAACTGCCAGCCACTGTGATGACTTCATACGTGCGCCAACACACACATGTATGTTAAACATACTATGTTTTATGCTTCTTTCTGTCCCCCTTCCATGATTCTGTTCTAAATGTCAACAGACAAGCAAATTACTAAAACACCATCCAGAATAAATTGCGAGGGAAGAGGGTAGAGATCTGAAATGGAACAGATGCATGTGCCTAGATGAGGAATAACATTGTGGGTGAGGAATGAACGAAATCCTAATTTCTGGGAAACATAGGGCTCTCATTCCCAGCACTGTATAAGACTATCCAATAACACTTAAAAGGTTAAGCTGCCACTTACACAAGTACATACTTGATTTCATAGAACATTTGACAATATTTACTGCAGTCCAATATGTTGTCTATTGATAATACTTAGCTATTGAATTGTCCAGGACTCAAATTCTACTTGGGATTTTTTTCTCTCCCTGAAGGATTAAACAACAACACTAACTACCCCAATCCACACACACACACACACAGGCACATACTATGACACCAGAAGGCAGCACTCCTCTTTACCTTCTGCTGAATATTCTGCTACTTCCAAGGCTTGATGTCCATATACGAAGCCCGATGGAATCTATGAACACAGCAGAAGTAAAAAGCAGTGATTTATAGATGTATACGCTTCACTTCTCAAAAGTCAACAGTGCCCAATAACTAGAAACCCACTGAGTTGTTCTCCAATAAACTGGCATACTATTGAGAAACAAGATGGCTACCAGTTTAATACTTTTCTAAATTCAGAAGTTGGAAAAGAATGAGCAAAGGTGACTTTCCCCCGATGTTATTGTTAACTTGGTCTGAAGTTTGATTGTACTTTTAAACAGGGTTGAAAGCAAATTCACATCCCGTGGATGACTCTGTTGCTTTTGGGGGAACATTTTTTTAGGCCTTTAAATTAATACAAAACTCTGCAAAACTGTTTTTTGGAAACAAATATGAGATGAATGTATATACCACAAGCACAGATTCCTCTTTCAAACCACTTTCTGTTCTGAAAAAAGCGATCATCTATCTCCTGTCTGACACTGCTTATTTCACACACTGTACACAAAGCTAATTACAACAAATGTGAAGATCTGACTAGTTAAAGAATTTTTAAAAGGGAACATAGGTAAATTTTCAATTTTTTAATTAAAAATAAACAGCTTCATGTAACTTGGCTATATTACTCAGGTTAAATGTTCTTCACTGGTAGAGACAATTCTTCTTAATTTTGCTCATTTATAATAAAATAGCTGGCCCAGGATCAACGGTTTTCCATTAGAGAAACTGCTCCAACCTCAACAGGTAAGAAGGCACAGGAGATGATAATATTATGGGAAGTCCCTTAAGAAAAATATACATTCTGGGCATACAAAAGTTAAATAAAAGGTGGCAGCAGTTCTATAAAAAATAGTAAACAGAGCAACAGTTGCTCATATATAAAAGTAGAATGGTTTTGGATCTAAGTTATTCAGATGTCTCCCTGAAGCATAAATGTATGATTTAGTATCTGAGAAAAAACTCCTCTTACTATTCAAGCACTTTTCAAAATAATACCTTTTACACTGCATTCTGGAAGACAAGAAAAATTCCCAAGTGAGCTCTGACCTGGATAGCCCAGGCAAGCCCAATCTCATCAGATCTCAGAAGCTAAACAGGGTCTACCCTGGCAAGGACTTGGAAAGGAGACCTCCAAGGAATACGAGAGGTAAGCAATAGTAAGCCACCTCTCTGAAACATGCAAGCCCCACTAGGTCACCAGAAGTCAACCATGACTTCCAGGCAAACACACACACACACACACACACACATACAAAATACCCACCCAAAAAAGGGGGGGGGAGAAAAATCCCAAGTGCCTAGTTCTTAGTAAGGATGCCATTTTGGAATCCATAATTGTAGTCCCTGGATAGAGAAGTGAAGGCCTATGGCAGGGGAGAAGCAGGAAATTTAGAGGGAAACACTTATTTACCCTGAAGGAACGGCAAAAAATTACAAATCTGGAAAAACACAGAAAAAACTCTATGAAATATTTTTCTTTGAAATTACTGAAATGTTTAAGATTGTTTCACTCACTCAAAATGTACAGCATGAAAAAGTCTGAAGCATTTTCTCCCGTTTTTCCAAGAGGAAAAAAATGAGAAGTGTGGGGGAACACTAAAAAAAATTATAGGAGGTTTTTTTTTTTCAATGACTGAAACATGTTATGATAGCATAGGGTATAGCCACTGGAAGATCTCTCTCACTTTAATATTTGGTGTATTCTCAGTTTTCTTTACAGAAAATCAAGGCATTTATACTTTTAAATTCCATTCATTTTATATGCTAGCTAACTTATAAATGATGCCTTTTATGTTGTTAATGCAACAAATAGATTTAGGTTTAATAAGACAGTAATATTACAATTTCCCCCCAATTTTTCAATATTTTCTGGAGGGAGGGAGGGGGGAAAACACTTTGTACCATAGCTTCAGAATTTTTGGAAATTTTACATAGCTAGCCTTGCACTACCTAAAGTTAAATATTTAGCCCTGGACTACTTAAATCTCAAAGGGTTCCATTGATCCATGTCATGGTAACATCACACAAGACTATTGTAAGGCACCCTACATGGATCTGCCCTAGAACTCAGCTTGGAGACTTCAGATGGTACAGAATGTCACAGATTAGTTATTATTAGGAGCTACGCCTTGGATGCTGATTATCTGCAGGACTGCCTATGCTTCACCACAATAGCTTTAATCATGGAGCAGTTCCTCCTGCATATTATTCCCATTTTGCAGTCACTCCATTGACTGTCCATCAGTTACTGGGTTCAGTTCAAGGTACTTGACTATCACATACAAAGCCCTTCATGGCCTCCTAGGCTCCACCATGATAGGCTTACTCATCAGCTCTGTCACTTCTACAGGTGGCTCCCTGCAAATTGGCAAGATCAACAACTGCCTGTAGATGTGCATTCTCTGTTAGTGCCCCCCATCTTGTGGAATGGCCTGCCTGAGAAGGTCAGCAAGGCTCCCACACATCTGTGACTTAACAAATTATGTAAAAAAATTGTTCAAGACGGCATTTTTATAAAGGTAATAGGGCTACATTATAACTGAATGAATGGTTCAATAAGATGCTTTAATAAAGGGAACAAGACTATGTGTCAGGTTCCACAGCCAACAACTGAGTATACACTTGTCAGAAAGGTTATACCTAATTGCAGAGCTATAGATGCAGTAACATGGTCCCTGTTAAGAATGGCGACGTTTCTACAAGCACAATGGGATATAGGGTATTCGTACGCACCCCCACCATCCATAGGCCAATTGGCCTGACTCCCGCATGCGGGAGAAGGGGCCCCAGGCCGTTAGAGCTGAAGCTGGGAATTGAAAGCTATCCCACGGTTACATGATGCCCAGATACTACACAGGCAATCTACAAGGTCAGTGATAATGAAGTACTACAGAAGCAAAGAAGGAATGCAGCAACGGCTGTTACACAGGTCAAGCAAATGAACCCCAGCCCATAAACATCATGGCAGCATAGCTGACATTCTGCCCCCTCAAAACCCAGCCTCTCCCGCCCATTCCAGGAGACCTCCCGGTCATTCCAGCAGACCACCCGGTTTGTCCGGGAACTTCCAGTGGAACTTGCCCAACAGTCTAGGGGCCCGAATATCCCCTACTTCCACCCATTCGAGGTGCTGGGGTCCAAAATCCTGCCATTCCACCAAATAAAACAGTTTTCCCCGTTTGAGTTTAGAGTCCAAGATCTTCGAGATTTCATAATGTTCCTCGCCCTCAATCATGATAGGAGGGGGCACTGACTGTGACGGTTGCCAGATGCTTGAGCCAGAATCCTGTTTCAGGAGGCTGAAATGAAATACAGAATGAAGATTCCTCAGGTTCTTGGGGAGACCTACGTCAACAGTCACCTCATTGATCATCCGTTTCACCTTAAACAGACCAATGTATTTCCATCCTAGTTTCCTACTAGGCTGTAGGACTTTGATGTTCTTAGTGGACACATACACTGAATCACCAGGCTGCAGAGCCCAACCCTCCACCCTTCTCTTGTCAGCCTGAGCCTTATAAGCCTCCTTGGCCGCAGTTAAAGCCTTGCAAAGGAGCGGCCACGAGTTCCGTAATTGTTTACACCATTGCGCCACATCCCCCGGCCCCAAGTCATTTGGCCCCTCCAAAAAAGGTAAAGGGGGGCTATCATATCCATACAACGCCTTAAAAGGGGACAGTCCTGTAGAGGAATGACATGTGTTATTATAACAGTATTCGGCCAGGGGCAGGAGATCTACTCAATCACCTTGTTGATAATTGGTGAAACAGAGGAGATATTGTTCCAAAGTCTGGTTAACCCGTTCCGTCTGGCCATCAGTCTCGGGGTGATAGGCACTGCTCATGGCTCATTCGACCCCCATCAGTTTCATAAGCTCCCCCCAAAACCGTGAAACGAATTGGGCCCCCCATCCGATATCACCTTGGTCAGGAGCATATGTAAACGGACTATGTGTAATAGAAACACTGTAGTAGAAAGCTAAGGCTTTCGCCGTGGGCAGAGACGCAAACGGGATAAAGTGTGCCTGTTTGGAGAATAAATCCACGACAACCCAAATGACCGACATGGTTTTGCTCGGGGGCAGGTCCGTAATAAAGTCCATGGAAATCACCTCCCATGGCCGGCTTGGAGTCGGGTGTGGATGCAATAATCCTGGAGTTTTCCCCGGGCGGGGTTTACTCATGGCACAAATTTAGCATTTCACAAACGAAGATAAATCCTTCCGCATTTGCGGCCACCAGAATTGTCATTGCATGAGCTGAAGGGATTTAACAAACCCGGGGTGGCCATTCAGCTTTGTGCCGTGCACTGAGTGCAGTACTTCCCTCCGCAGGGAGAATGGAACAAATAGTTTGTTTCCGCGGTACCAGCAGCCATCGGATCTGAGTTCGAAATCCCCTTCTGCCCCCACCACCGCCCTGTCGCCCTCCAAGAAGGCAGAGGCAAATTTACTGTGCCAAGCTTTCCCGCCCACTTCAGCCGGTGGTGGGCCCCGGGATGTCGGTGACGTAGGGGACGTAGGAGACGAGGACACCGCCCCGCCCAGGTGGGAAGGCGTGAACACCGAGTCCAAGATGACCTCCCTTTGGCTGTCGTGTTGTGGGAGGCGGGACAAAGCATCAGCGAGGGGGTTTGCAGAGCCCGGGAAATGGTGAAGCGTAAACTAAAACTTAGAAAAGAAATCGGCCCACCGGATCTGTTTTGCATTGAGGCTGCAAGGTGTTTTTAGCATTTCCAAGTTCTTGTGATCAGTCCACACCTCAAAAGGAACCCATGCTCCCTTTAGCCAATGCCGCCAGGTAGCCAATGCAAGGCGGATTGCCCCCGCCTCCTTCTCCCACACCGACCAGTTACGATCCGTGTCACTGAACTTTCTCAACACGTATGCTAAAGGATGCATTAATCCATCCTCTCCCTCTGGGAGGATTGCACCCCCCGTGGCCACATCCGACGCATCAACTTGTACGATGAAGTTTTTATTTTCATCGGGGTGGGCTAGGGCGAGTTCAGACATGAACAGGGCTTTGAGGC